TTAAGTTGAAGTGTAAAGGATTTTAAATTGTCTATAAATAAAGGATTTTAAATTGTCTATAAATGGGAAGACAATTTAAGCAGTATGGTAATGTTTTAATTTATTTAACAGTGAAATATACGTTTTGTTAGCTGTGAAATGTTTCTTATTTTGGATTTCCACCGTTGAAGGTTCTTATGGGAATTTCTTAAAAATTTGCGGCCCCATAGGGATTGTATGAGTTCATATTTAGAACTTAAATTTGTATACCACTTCACTGCGATCTGTAAAATTTAAATATCAGTATAGCAGATTTATCAAAAAACATAAAAGTAATTTAATTAATTGTTTTTATATTGTTATTACGAACGTTTTTAAATTTATGTAAGGACTTTTATATGTTTTTTTTTTTTTTAATTAAAAAAGTTTTCAATACTTTAACATCCCATTAATGTGACAAAGAAATTGTAATTAAATAAATCCTATACAAATGATTTAATTTTGTTTTTAAATTTGAACGTGTTTTTTCTTAACAACTTGTGTTTATTTGACATTAATTTCCATATTTGATTTGTTTTTTATATTTTTAACTTTTTTATTATCATCATTGATAGAAAACACTTGAATCTCATTGCTTACTTTATACTTCATTACTTTTTTTCACTGATTATTAAGTTTTCTGTTATTTTTGTGATTTTTCGAATGTTATCGTTATTTAAGTCATTTTGTATTAACATTATCGCTTAACGTTTTGTTACACTTTCATTTTTTTTGTCTACTTATTTAAAGGTTTTTTCTTTTAGTGCAAGAGCAAGGTAATCCTTGTTTATCATATTTGAGTAGAATTAGAAACAATAATAGAATTTTTAATATATTTATTATAAAGTTTATGAGTGCTGTCAGTATAGAATTTAAAAAAAAAAAAAAAAAAAAATAATAAAAATTTATAATCTGGCATAACAAGTTTAGATCAAAAATGTCTCAACGAACACACACTCAAATGATAATGAGAATAAATCAATTATATTTTAAACAATACATATTTATTATTGTTTAGAAAGTATAACCAGTTCCATTACTTTCTCTAAGAAGAGGACATATCGCTCATTTACTTTTAAAATAAAACAAAGTTTCTTAATATATACGAAACAATATTTATTTGTCCATTACCGAGCAGGGTGACGATAATCATACCTTCGTTGTAGTGAAGCAGACCAGAGTCTCTGATGGGAATAGAATCCACAAACCGCCAAACGAAAAAATATATTACAAAAAGTTTTCGTATTTATGTAAAATTAGAAAAGCGTTTGATTAAATAATATTTCGTTTTATGTATGAAATTTTCATAAATATTACGAAAAATGTAGTATGTACGTATGTTTTTCGTAAAGTCAAGTATGATTTTTTTATTTATTTAAGAAAACTTATCGCATCGTTTGAGAAGTCTTCCAAAAGAAAACTGATCTACCCTAGTGAAGATGAAGATGAGACAACTTCAGTAAAGAGACATAATATTTTTTTTATTAATTAATTGGTAAATATTTCTTAAATTTAAAATTTAAATCCATTGTATGCCTGTTTTAAAAACTAGTTAGTCAATATTATATACATATAAAATATATTGAAATAAGTAATTGTATTTTTTGTGCATATTTTATTCCAGAATTTTTGTTTCTTTTATTTATCTTTCAAATTATTTGTTAACTGCACCACCGAAAGACTATAAAATATCAATATCGGTTTGCAAATCATATCAGTAGCAACGTTTAATTACTACCAGAAACATTGTTTGAAAGCAAAAAAAAAAAAACAAACGGCAGAAATGAAAGTTTTAATAATCTTAGCTATTTGTGTGGCAGTCGCAAGAGCACAATTTGGATTCGGCGGAGCACAGTCTCAATCTCAAGCACAAGCCCAATCTCAATCTTCAGGTTTTGGTGGTGGACTTGGTGGTGGTGGATTTGGTCCTGGTGGATATGGTCTAGGTGGATTTGGTGGTCGTGGATTTGGTGGCCGTGGATTTGGAGGCCGTGGATTTGGAGGCCTTGGTAGATTTGGTGGAGGTGGATTCGGTGGCAGTCAAGCTGGCGCCTCTGCTAATGCCAATGCCGCTGGATTTGGTTCCGGATTTGGCAGATAATAATGTCTACTCTTATTTCTAGGACAAAATTTTTCATAAATGCACCATAAACTTAAATAAACGAAATAAAAATGATTATTGCTAAATACAAACCAGATTTGCTACATACATACTATAGTCATTCAATTAAAAAAAAAAAAAATGGCCAAAAAATTTTAAAATTCTTTTACTTTTTTTATAAAAAAAAAATTTCTTAAAAACAAGTAATATTTCTTGAATATGTCGCTCCTACGGCCTTTTGAATTTGGGATCAGAAATTGGAAACCCGTTTTAAAAACCTTGAAAGAAAAGTGTAAACACTATGGGCAAAATCTTAAAACATAAAATTCTTGAGATTTTAGGCGAAATTTTTTGAGAATTGCTTGATTACCTTTGACGTTG